AGAGACACACTACTGGTAATAACATGTACCTTATACTGTGTACTATATACTTTAATACTGTAATATGTACATGTGTATATGTATATACAGTACATGTACATGTACATGTATGTGACTAAAATGAGAATGAATATTCAATAACTAACTATCACTAACTAAAAGTCTTATAGTTGTAACTAAAACAACACTAGTATGTGTATGTGTACATAGTTAATTCTTATACTGTGTACTGTGATATGTATGTACATGTATTAATGTTATTTTCTTTTTCTGTTGTAGGAAGTTCATCCAACTGGGATACTTGCTGTCCCCAGGGTGAGGGAGAAATTCAAAGAAGCAGCTGAAACTCAGTTTCAGTCTATTGGTGGAGTCAAGAAGTTTATAATAAGGAAAGCAATGGTAAGAAGAGAATCACTGTATGACATCGTGTGATGTAGGGCAGGGCTTATGTACACTGCATGGGATAGTATCTTAATCATTCATAACTTGAGAAATTGAAGTCAGAATCACCTCAAACTTTCTACACAGCATAAGGATATTAATATGTATCAAAAAATGTAATAAAAATTTGGGGTAATTTCGGAGCCATTTTTTGGAAAAAAACCATGGGCTATAGCCTTGGGTATTTTTTAAATCAGCCATTTTTTAAATGGCGGTAACTTGAAAAATTGAAGTCGGAATCAGCTCAAAGTTTCTGCATAGCATAAGGATATCAATATGTATCAGAAAATGTAATAAAAATTTAGGGTGATTTTGGAGCCATTTTTCCAAAAAAACCATGGGCTATAGCCTTGGATATTTTTCAAAAATCGGCCATTTTTAAAACTGCCATAACTTGAAAAATTGAAGTCGGAATCAGCTCAAACTTTCTACACAGCATAAGGATATTAATATGTATCAGAAAATTTAATAAAAATTTGGAGTGATTTCGGAGCCATTTTTTGGAAAAAACCATGGGCTATAGCCTTGGGTATTTTTCAAAAATCAGCTATTTTTTAAACAGCAGTAACTTGAAAAATTTGAAGTCGGAATCAGCTCAAACTTTCTGCATAGCATAAGGATATCAATATGTATCAGAAAATGTAATAAAAATTTAGGGTGATTTTGGAGCCATTTTTCCAAAAAAAACCATGGGCTATTATAGCCTTGGATATTTTTCAAAAATTGGCCATTTTTAAAACGGCCATAACTTGAAAAATTAAAGTCGGAATCAGCTCAAACTTTCTACACAGCATAAGGATATCAATATGTATCAGAAAATTTAATAAAAATTTGGGGTGATTTTCGAGCCATTTTTCCAAAAAAAACCATGGGCTATAGCCTTGGGTATTTTTCAAAAATTGGCCATTTTTAAAACGGCCATAACTTGAAAAATTGAAGTTGGAATCAGCTCAAACATTCTACACAGCATAAAGACATCAATATGTATCAGAAAATGTAATAAAAATTTGGAGTGATTTTGCTAACACACTACTACTATCACATTCCATTCTTACATGTAGCTTGTATTATTGTGTGTGTTCATTGTAATAGGAAGTTGGTCAAAGAAGTCAAGAGAATAAGATTAACAGAAACAATCAATCTGTGTTTGGATATGGACTGGCCAACAGGTACATAATATAATCTGAAAAATTAATATTTCTACATTTTAAATCTTTTTTACCTTTGTGACGTACATGTACATAAATGTACATGTAAATAAGTAATTTTTATAAACTTTTATGAAGTTTGTGATGCTATCAAATGGCACCTACTGTACCATTAATAATATTATTAATATTAGTTTTTTGGTTTTTTTTCAGACTTGTTTTTAAAAATTTAAGGGAGAAACTTGGACTCGATCAATGCAGATTCTGTGTAAGCACAATATTCACATTAACTGTCATTATAATAACTTATTAATTATCTCTACAGATTTCAGGTGGTGCCCCTTTACCTAAAGCAGTGACTGATTTCTATGCTGGTTTTGATATAGCTCTATTGCAGTTGTATGGAATGTCAGAGACTTCATCAGTAGCAACTGTGAACACTCTTGGTAACAGATAAGCTTTCAATCAGCTACACATGTACATGTACATTGTATTAGATACCTTAAGGAGACAATTGTTAGCGGATATTTAATTTAGCGAATTTTAGTGATTATAAAAAAATTGCTAACTTACATGTACATGTAAGTCCACTCTAACTTCAATTT